TTAGCCCAACCCAACTAAATATATTTTAGATTTGTTTACAATAATTTAATACTAAACAAACACAGTGAAATATATTTTTTCGCTAAGTTCTGCCTATTCGGCACGACATATATATATATATATATATATATATATATATATATATATATATATATATATATATATATATATATATATATATGTGTGTGTGTATATATATATATATATATATATATATATATATATATATATATATATATATATATATATATATATATATATATATATATATATATATATAATCGCGAAAAAGTATTGCAATATGCAAAACAACCATGGGAGGATGGGTGGGGGGGTTTAAGATGGATCTAGGCCTTTCGTGTTGCAATCAACACATCATCAGGATCAAACATGTTCAGAGTGAGCAAAAACGTCGACTGCAATCTCCTGATGATGAAGGTAAACTGTATAAAACACCAACAGGATGGGAAAAGACAAATGCATTGTAATGTGATACTTTACTGACAACGTTTCGCTCACACAGCGAGCTTCATCAAGTCACAAATAGATGAATTTGATTTGATAGAGTCCACTGTGTGGGGATAAAGTTGTCAATTAAGGCTCCCATAATGCTACAGTTGCTGGATCAACCAGGTTGTGGTGGATATGTGGCGCAGCGGGCCTCCAGCAGCAACAGCCTAGCAGACCAGAATAACAAAAGACGAACCTAGCTCATGGCCGGGCTCCCAGAGTATAAAGACTCTCGAAACTCATCAAAGGTATAGCTTTTCCATTCTCGGATAATCATATTTTTTTTTTTTTTACAAATCAATAATTTGAACATAAACACGTTAAAATATACCACACAAAAACTGGACATCATCTAGAAGTCAAAGGGAATACAAAGAACAGGAAAACTAGCAAAAAACAAAAGAGTGACGATCCCTAAAATGAAAAAGCAAAAATGGTTATACACAGTTGATATGAAACAAAACAGCCGTAAATTTAAGTGGGTTTTGGATGATGCTTTAACCGGATTACGGCACATCCGATCCTACTAAAGCTTGTCCAGTAACATAACCCTGTTCTAGCACCAGCCACCGTCAGCCGGGCGCTCACACGTCACTGCCAGTCACTCCTCTCTTCAGTCTCTGATAGTAACTACCGACAGTTCAGTGACTGGCTTTTAATAATGCTGTTCACTGGTCAGTAGGGCAGCAATTTGCAGAATAAGTAAGATATATGTGATATATGTATATATATATATATATATATAATATATATATATATATATATATATATATATATATATATATATATATATATATATATATATATATAATATATATATATATATATATATATATATATATATATATATATATATACAACTATTAAGTCCTTCCTAAAATTTTCTCTTATACGTTTAAAGATATATTTTTTTCATTAATGTTGATGTAAAAAAGAATCTTAGAAAACTTACCTAACCTTATTATAACAAGAACAATTTATTTTAGCCTAACCCAACCATATAGTTTTTAAATTTTTTACAATAATTTAATACTAAACAAACACAGTGAAATATATATTTTTTTAGTTAGGTTCAGAATGATTTTGGCGAAATTATTGCATACACAAATTTTCACTTGTCCTATATGGCAAGATGAGCGTTGCTATTTAAGCCAAGATCGCAAGTTCTGCCTATTCGGCACGACATATATATATATATATATATAATATATATATATATATATATATATATATATATATATATATATATATATATATATATATATATATATATATATATATCAATAACAACGAGCCAAGAACTCGAACCCATGTTGTACTGGCCCGCCTCATGGTGAGCTAGAACCACATGATGTCTAACCCACAGGACCACCCAACTGGCTGGTCCTGTGGGTGGCGACGTTTAGGTCTCCAGGAGCTTTGTTAAGCTCCTGGAGAGAGAAACGTTGCCACAAAAAAATATCACATTAGTTGCATCTGTGCCCTTTTACCAAACATTTTATCGGTAACTCTACCATTATTATTAATGAGCCAATAGGCCTGCTTCAGTACATCTGTAAACAACAGAAGAATAATGGACTTGCTTAGGAAAAGCCATTAGGCCTACTGCATGGCTGCACTGTTATGATCTGAGGATTCTCGTAGATTACCTGTCAGATTCTTCGCGCTGTTTATGTTTGTTTTTTGCAAGCCAACAAAAACAGAGAGACAGAGGCGTGTGAAGTTGGTACCCTCCATGTGTGCCAGGGATAACGTACTTCATAATAAAACATTAGAAAGTGGGAAGATATTGGTAGTTTTATGTTATAATCAGAGGGAAAGCACCTAGCCCGTACTGGGTCATACGGCGCTTATGAGAGGTTTAGACCCGTGTGTAAACACTGGGACATGTTAAGAAACATTTCGGTCCTGGAACCTTGATCACTTGTAACACAGAGGTTAAAAAGATAGTATATTTATAGGCAGAAAATGGGGTAATCAGGCTTGATCCGAGGAATGGGAGGGTATCTTTAATTCCTTGTATCAAGAGCTTCTCACAACATTAAGGACTCCCCTTTCCTCTTGAAGCGGCAGCCAGCTAGTGAACAAATAATTTTTTTAAACGCTAAATTCTGCCGAAAAATCTATGAAATATAAGTAGCCAATAAAATTAACAAATAAAGAAGCCAAAACATGTTATTAACTTACCTTATTTGTTACAAATAAATAAACAAATTTGCTTATTAAGTCTCTCTTCAAAATTAACTTTAAGTCCTTGCCTTATTTTTTTTCTTTTATTGTTTTTCTCTAACGCTTTATTCGATCGGCTTCAAACTTACTGGGTGTGTAGGTCCCAATTTGCCTATTTTTTATTCGAAATCTTCTTGTATTTTTTACTACATTATAACTTGCACATGTCACTTTTAAACGACAGATATTATCTATCTATCTATATATATATATATATATATATATATATATATTAATATATATATATATATATATATATATATATATATTATATATATATATATATATATATATATATATTTATTTATTTATTTATTTTAAATTTACTAACATAGTTAATAAACATGAAATTAGTGGATTAAACGTAATAACTGGAGAATGCCTCTTCTGGTCGGCTTCAAACGTATTAACACGGATGTGTTTATCCCACATTAAGCTTTGCTTTGACTTCGAATTGTGTCCCTTATAATATTACCAATTTTACTGAACACCTGGCGAATGCCTCTCCTGGTCGACTTCAACCCTTAAACGAATTATTTTGGGACGGTGTAGGTGAACTTCTCATTTTTATTAAATAGGTTCAGTTATTAGTTTCCATGTGATACCTTGTGAATGCTTCTTAGAACAGGGTTCAACTGTTTAATTCTGAAATATTCATGAATCATAAACTTATGGTTCGCTCTGTGCTGTCTTTTTTTTTTTCAATGCAGTGAGGTAGAGGAACGTAGAGTTATGGGATACGGGGATACTTTTCTTGGATCTCTGATGTAGAGGGATACCTTTCTCGGATCTCTGATGTAGAGGGATACCTTTCTCGGATCTCTGATGTAGAGGGATACCTTTCTCGGATCTCTGATGTAGAGGGATACCTTTCTCGGATCTCTGATGTAGAGGGTTATCTTTCTCGGATCACTGATATAGAGGGATACCTTTCTCGGATCACTAATGTAGAGGGATACCTTTCTCGGATCACTGATGTAGAGGGATACTTTTCTCGGATCACTGATGTAGAGGGATATCTTTCTCGGATCACTGATATAGAGGGATGCCTTTCTCGGATCACTAATGTAGAGGGATACCTTTCTCGGATCACTGATGTAGAGGGATACCTTTCTCGGATCTCTGATGTAGAGGGATACCTTTCTCGGATCACTGATGTACAGGGATACCTTTCTCGGATCACTGATGTAGAGGGATATCTTTCTCGGATCACTGATATAGAGGGATACCTTTCTCGGATCACTAATGTAGAGGGATATCTTTCTCGGATCACTGATGTAGAGGGATACTTTTCTCGGATCACTGATGTAGTGGGATATTTCTCAGACCACTGATGTAGAGGGATACCTTTCTCGGATCACTGATGTAGAGGGATACCTTTCTTGGATCACTGATGTAGAGGGATACCTTTCTCGGATTACTGATGTAGAGGGTTACCTTTCTTGGATCACTGATGTAGAGGGATACCTTTCTCGGATCACTTATGTAGGGGATACTTTTCTCGGATTACTGATGTAGAGGGATACCTTTCTCGGATCACTTATGTAGAGGATACTTTTCTCGGATTACTGATGTAGAGGGATACCTTTCTCGGATCACTTATGTAGAGGATACTTTTCTCGGATTACTGATGTAGAGGGATACCTTTCTCGGATCACTGACATAGAGGGGGAACTAGGTTTATGGGACACAGGGATACTTTTCTCAACTCACTGTGTAGAGGGGAAGGCTGGATTTATGCGACACAGGGATACCTTTCTCCGCTTATTGAAATAGAGGGGACTGAGTTTGTTGGATACACAAACACTTTTCTTGGATCACTGACGTAAACGGATACAGGGATATCGTTCTCAAATCACTGAGGTTGAGAGGTCTGGGCTCATGAGATAGATACCTTTGTTGGATCATTGATTTGGAGTTGGCCTGACCTCTGAAATACAAGGATACCTTTGTAGGATCATTAATTTAGAGGAGCGGGACCTCTGAAATGCAGGGATACCTTTTTAAGATCAGTGATTTAGAGGTGGAACCTTTGAAATACAGGGATACCTTTGTAGAATCAATAGAGGATACCCTTTCTCGAATCGGGGGATACCTATTTTTCGTACCGTATACCGAAGCACATCTGTAGTAGCTGACAGTGACGTAGCAGGGAGAGCAAGTGTTTATCCCGACGACGTTTCGCTCTCCGAGGAGCTCTATCGAAGCTCCACAGAGAGCCAAACATCGCTGGCTCTTTAGAGCGATTAATATTAACTCACCGTTCTGGAGGCTGAGGAGAGCCAGAAGTGCGAGGAATAATCTCGGCGTATATTTCTCATCCATAGTGAGGTGAAGGCTGCCAGCACAAGCTATTGTATCGAAAAAGCCCGCACTAAACCCTTATGGGTCATAGAGTCACTTCAAATTTTCAGGTTACCAGCATCCAAATTCCCACTTGTTGAACCATTGTCTCTGAGAATGAATTCCTCCGTTTATCATTTAACTGGTTTATCTCCCATACCTACGTTCACTGTGTAGGCGACACTATGCAAAAGAGAGGCATTAAGTAAATTATTGGTGAGAGAGAGAGAGAAAAAGAGAGATTTAAACACAACAAAAGAAGAGTTCGTCTTGAGGGAGCGGAGATACAGAGAGACACATCCACCCTCTCTGCTGTCTTGTTGATGACTGACCCAAAAGTGGGCAGTCGGTCACAGATGTATCATACATTTATCCTAAATATACGACTTTTGAGAAATTTTCCTTATGTATAACAGTCTTAGTATCTTCTTTTGTTAGCAGTCTACGATTCCAGATGTTTACAAAAACATTTGAATGCTGTTCTTCACGCGTTTAAAGCCGGTGAAGCTTTGAGCGCTACCAGAAATTAATGTGTTGCTGCTGGATCGTGCGGCCGACAGCGGGGCTGGAAGACGCGGTTGTCATGGTAACGCACGTGCAGGCAGACTCCAGGTGATCGTTTATTATTATTATAATAATTATAATTATTATTATTAATGGCGCTATTATTTTTACTATTATTTTATTGTTTTAGTTTGTATTGACTAAATTACTAATTTTTAATTTACAATAATGAAATGACCACAGAATTAGACTCTGTCACACACACACACACACACACACACACACACACACACACACACACACACACACACAACACTCACATACACACATTAGGAAGTATTTTCTTCAGTCATAGATTGTCGGCAGTTTGAATTAGCCTGAAAATGCCGTAGTGGAGTCAGGAACCATACACAAGTTTTTAAGACGAGGTTTGATAAAGCTCATGGAGCGGGGAGAGAGAGGACCCAGTAGCAACCGGTGAAGAGGCGGGGCCAGGAGCTAAGACTCGACCCCTGCAACCACAAACAGGTGAGTACAAATAGGTGAGTACACACACACACACACACACACACAAATATATATATATATATTATATATATATATATATATATATATATATATATATATATATATATATATATATATATATATATATATATATATATATATATATATATACTACATATACATGCTTATATTATTGTAACCACGGACGAGTGGTATTTAATCAGTAACAACACTGCGACTAGCCGAGGGCTCGAACCCATGTCGTTTTGACCCGCCTCATGGTGAGAGAAAATCACATGACGCTCTGACCCACAGGACCACCAAATCCTAAAAGAATCAAGCACTCAACAGAGCTAGGTGTTTTACCGTGATCCTAGGATATACGGTGTTGTGGGTGCCCGTTTGGTTACAATAATATATATACTGCTCATGGAGGATAATACACTAAACGGGGGGTAGAATGAAATTAGTTCTGAGGCACCCACACCACCGTATGTCCTCGGATCACGGTAAAATACCTAAATCTGCTGGTGCGTGATTCTTGTAGGATTTGGTGGTTCTGTGGGTTAGAGCGTCATGTGATTTTCGCTCACCATAAGGCGGGCCAAAACGACATGGGTTCGAGTCCTCGACTAGTCGCAGAGCTGTTATTGATATATATTTTTTTTTTAACAAGTCGGCCGTCTCCCACCGAAGCAGGGTGACCCAAAAAAGAAAGAAAATCCCCAAAAAGAAAATACTTTCATCATTCAACACTTTCACCACACTCACACATTATCACTGTTTTTGCAGAGGTGCTCAGAATACAACAGTTTAGAAGCATACACATATAAAGATACACAACATATCCCTCCAAACTGCCAATATCCCAAACCCCTCCTTTAAAGTGCAGGCATTGTACTTCCCATTTCCAGGACTCAAGTCCGACTATATGAAAATAATCGGTTTCCCTGAATCCCTTCACTAAATATTACCCTGCTCACACCCCAACAGATCGTCAGGTCCCAAGTACCATTCGTCTCCATTCACTCCTATCTAACACGCTCACTCACGCTTGCTGGAAGTCCAAACCCCTTGCCCACAAAACCTCCTTTACCCCCTCTCTCCAACCCTTTCGAGGACGACCCCTACCCCGCCTTCCTTCCCCTATAGATTTATATGCTTTCCATGTCATTCTACTTTGATCCATTCTCTCTAAATGACCAAACCACCTCAACAACCCCTCTTCTGCCCTCTGACTAATACTTTTATTAACTCCACACCTTTTCCTAATTTCCACACTCCGAATTTTCTGCATAATATTTAAACCACACATTGCCCTTAAACAGGACATCTCCACTGCCTCCAACCGTCTCCTCGCTGCTGCATTTACCACCCAAGCTTCACACCCATATAAGAGTGTTGGTA